AGAACAGAAATTTTCAAAACCCTTAGCTAACTAACCATCTCAAACCGTTGAGAAACTATAGCTACTCGCTAAGGAATCCTGAAGAGATTTCAGTTCAAAAAAGATCTGAATACCTTGTTACCTAACAGTCACAGCCGAACAAGTTCTTAAGCATTTAAGCTCGTGTTTTGAATTTCCCCTCGCCTAGCTTACGGAGAGGGAAGGAGGACGGGATGCCTAACAGAGAGGTTTCTTCAAGGCATAAAACAGCTAACACCAATAGATTAAATAGCTAGATTTAGGATTGAGAGCGACTTGATGTAGTTTTGATGTTGTGTAAAGATGTTTTCACTTGATCATAATTAACAACCAACATTGTTGTCTAAGAAGTGAACTGTGCCATTCAGGAGCACGCCATTTATTAACTCCATCAGCTCTCACCTCATTTAAAACTCATCAGACAAGCATCCAGACATCGCTAATCCGTGATAGTTTGAGAAATGCAATGAATAAAAAACGCGTCTGACAGCTTTAAATCTTCGTAGAAACAACTGAAAATTAATGAACTTAATTTGAACTTAAATTCAAATGATATGGTCGAGAAAGCAGCAAAATTTGAACTGACGAAGATATGAGTCAAATCTAAACATCCTGATATTTTTAAAAACCTTGAACTCAATAGTTCTCCCTTAAAGGGTGAAACGATTACCTGGCGAGTCTTTAAATACTTTTAATCTGGACAAGTTAACGTAGAGTTTTCCTCAATCGGCGATTTATAAAACCAATAAAAGAGTGGAGTCGCTATTAATGTCTCTTATCCTTATTTTCATTGCAATCTACCATGACTCAGTGGATTGCTGACTGTACAGTGAACCCAGAACATCTTTCACGACAGGTGACAACAGTGCGATCGATTAACTATTATTAGAATTATATTAATCAGCTGTACACAGTTTTAGACAAAAGTGGTAGTTTTTAACAAAAAACTACCAAACGTGTGAGAGAATATTCAACACCACATACTTACAAAACCAACGTACTGTTAGCGGGCTTAATTAAAATCTCTGATTTTCACTCACATAAAGAATGCTAGAAGATCGAGAGCGAATCGTGTATTTTACTGGCAAAGACTGAGATCAAGTTGTAGGAGGTACTAATTTATACTTGACTGAGCTGTAATATAAATGATGATGTGGTTTTATTTGGTTACATTCCTTCACGTAGTG